CGGGCTCCCCCGCCCGGCCCTGCCGGAACCGGGCAGCCCCGCCGCCTCCGCCCTTGCTGCCCCGGAGCGACCCTGGGTACCTGCCCCGGGGATCCCCCAGGAGTGGGATGCTGGCCCCAGCCCAGCCTGCGGGGTTCCCCCCCCCAGTGGGGTGCTGGCCCCACAGCAGGCCCCAGGGATCCCCCCCAGGAGTGGGGTGCTGGCCCCACAGCAGGCCTGGGGGATCCCTCCCAGGAGTGGGGTGTTGACCCCATCCCAGGCCCCAGGGATCCCCCCCAGGGGTGGGGTGCTGGCCCCACAGCAGGCCCCAGGGATCCCCCCCAGGAGTGGGGTGCTGGCCCCACAGCAGGCCTGGGGGATCCCCTCTGGGGTGGGGTGCCAGCCCGACCCCAGGTTTTGAGTAGCCCCCCTGGAAGCGGGATGCCAGCCCCACTCCAGGCTTTGAGGATCCCCCCGCTGCGAGTGGGGTGCTGGCCCTACAGCAAGCCTTGGGTGTCCCCCAGAAGTGGGGTGCCAGCCCCTCCCTGCTGCGGTACCGTACCCCCAACTCCATCGGTGTCCAGCCTGGGCACATCCCTTCGGAGCACAGGCCGGGGGGGGATCCCCACCCTCCTGGTGGCTGGGCCCCCCCAGCAAAGGCCCTGCAAGTCTGGGCACCCTGTCCTGCCTGCCTGGGACCCCCCGGGCTGCACTGGGGGGCTCCTCTGTGGGCTCCCCTCGTCCCTGCCACAGACCAGCTGGGGCGGAGCTAACAGGGCCGACGGGTACCCGCTGTCCCGCGCCACCCCCCACCGGGGCACTGGGATGGGCCCGAGCCCCTCCATCCCACCTTGGCCCTCCCCTCGCTGTGGGGGAGCGGGGGGCTCGGGCAGCAGGCTCTGCCCCGCGTGCTGCCCGCAGCAGGCAGGACCCCGCACAGCCCATGGGCGTTCTGCCCCACGGATACCCGATTTCATACCGATAACGGGCCGCTCACGCTCTTCAAAGCGCCCCGGCGATGCTGCTGTGGGCGTTCACAGACCTGCCCTGTGCCTGCGGGCAAGGCAGCCGCTTATTTATTTTAATTTATTATTTTTTTTAATAACTCCCAGTTGGGGTTTTTATTCCCTTCCCGAAATTCCCAGGGAGAGCCTCGCTCTAGGTGTGACGCGGGAGCACGCGGAGCTCCCACGGCACCGTGGGGCGGCGGGAGCCGGGACGGGCAGAGAAATCCCCGGCTGCTGCCGGGGGAGCGCTGGCAGAAAATGTCTTTCGGCTCGTCGCCGTCGGCAGAGGAAGCAGCCGGCAGCAGGAAGTCACGCCGAAATCCGGCAGCCCTTTATTTGCTCAACCCCTGCCTGCCTTGAGAAATACGTAATTAACGCCTTGAAACGCTCGTTTAACAGAGCGCTTGGGTTTTTCATTTTTATTTTATCTTCGCCTTGGCGTGAGCCGTGCTGGCGGCAAGACCCGTCCTGGGAAGGGGGGCCGGGTGGGGGTCTGTGCCGTCCGGGGGGGGCTCGCCGGTTGTGCAAGCTCGCTGACCCGCTTGTTTCCGGGGAGGGGAGGGCACCGGCAGAACGAAACCCCACGGGGTTTGCAGGCTGTTGGGGAAACACGTGGTCCCCCCTTCGCCGCGAGTTGTTCCTGCACCGGGCCTTGCCTCTGGCTCGGCTCCACTCGGACCGCTGCCCGGTGTGAAATAACGGTGCCCGGGGGGTGCAGCCGGCCAGGGGGGTTTGGCATCTCCTTTCTGCAGGGGACCAGCTGGGATGGGGAGCATTACCCCGGTGCCGTCGGCTCTGGGTGCCTGGGTTGGGGGAGCCCAGCCAGCCGGCACTGAGCATCACTGAGGGGCGGCCGGGGGCTCGGTGGTCAGGGAGGATCGCGGTGTGGGCCGGCCAGCCGGCATCCCTATCCCATGTCCTGCTCTGTGGCAAAGTGGAGGCAAGAGGAAGGGGACGGCCACGCTCCCTTCTGCGAAGGCCGGCATTTACGAGCGGCATTTCTGATCCTCAGCTGGTTTCTGAAGCCAAAAATAGAGCGAAATGGCTCTTTTTTAATTTTTTTTTTTTAATGTTTATTTTTTGCCCTCACAGCTGTTCAGGTGTAAATAGCGCTGGAGCCTTGGGTCACTACTGCCGTTTCCGAGCTGAGCCGTGGCCGGAAAATCCTCCCAAGCAGGCAGAGAGCGGCTGGGGAGGTGGGGCCGGCATTGCCCCCCCTGGGGGCTGGTGCTTGCGGCATCCCCCCCTCTGTGAGAAGCCCTCGAAGTGGGGACGCAGTGTCAGGTGGATGCTCCCACGTCCCCGCTGCCCACCCTTCCTACGGCTTGTCTTTTTCCCC